GTGTACTCTCCCATTCACTGGCAGGCGAACATCCCCTCTATGTTACAGGTGTATTGCAACAGTACAAACTAGGTGAGTTTTGTGTATTCGTCCTGAGATCTCATTAGATATCAAACCACCAGGTTTGATAAGACCGCCAAAATAAGTTAAGTGACCAGAGTGCTTGAGCACTCTACTCCCTGTAATCAAACTACGGGACATCTAGACTAGCCCAGGAGAATTATCTTACAGTCATGGGAGATTTTGTTTCAAGCAAATCTTCGGATGACCCACGATCCGGGCATAACAGATGAATTTACTAACAACTCGAGAAAATATCACAGCCAATATCGCTACTGGTTAGCTATGGCTTTTCCAACTTTGAAGATTTCTAGAAGCCTTATATCGACCTCGTATCTAATTTGTCGATGAAATATTGGGAACCTGAGGCCTACTAAATTGCTATTCAGTGTTTTACCTAATACCAGACCGATTTGTTTTCGAATGGATCATTACCCAGACTTTTTAGCGTACCTTTATGTCTTTTTGAAGAGTCTAAACAGTTTTCTAATGTTATTCATTGACACCGTCCTCTTCATTACTTTTGGATTTCTTGTTCATCACTTTTCGCAATTATTTCACTAACTTAAGATGAAGTATTTGTGTGTGTTTGTGAACTTTACTAATTAGATAGTAGCTCGTGAAATTTGCAAGGGACCTCAAACATAGTGTTATTACATTTAATACGCGTAATTATGCTTTAGTCACCTTGAGATAGATACAGGTTATCCTGTTACTCTGCATACGATTCAAGAATTGAGAAATTTTACATACATCTGATAAAGCAATTTCAAACCGTTATGAATTTAACGCAAGTCGTACAGCACCTTATTTTGACAAAAGTCATCCTAGAACAAAACTTTTCCCAGTAAGTTATTTTAAACTCGATGTTGAATCATCTACGTTCTAGTCAAAGATATATTTGTGTTATGTTCAGTATTTACAAGATCATGGGTTAACGAGTGAATGTGATAGGGGAAACATGACATTTATTGTAACGCGCAACTCAAAATTTTCTATTTTACAATAGAATCGTTATATTCCGAATGGTATCTTTCGAAAGTATTGTTGTCCTTCGAACCGCTCGAGTACGACAATTTCTAATACCACAAATTTAATTATAAGATTCAAAAAAGTCACCAGTTGTGTAAGACTTAAAAAGCCACGTAAGTAATAATAATAATACGAAGACAAACTTTACGATAATTTACTTTCATGATGGAAAATTTTTCATATCCATTCAAGTCGTGATTTGTTTTTGTAATGACAGGGCTACAAACAAACATGAACTTTTAGGGACGAACGTGTTATTTACTAAAAAACCCAAATAACGAAGTATTGAACCCAGGTACTATTATTATGATTTAACTGCCTTTCTGATAAATACATGTGAATCAGCATTTCTTATTTAATCAAAAAGCCGACTCCTAGGCAGAGGTTTGGTTGGACAATTAACAATAAATTAAGGGAGTTGTACCTTTTGAATCATCCCTACACTCCGGAAAATGATTACTATTGACGGCCTAGGGAAAAATCTACTCTATTGACCGAATTATTTTATGACTAACATAAAAAGTGAATGATGAAATTATGTACCGCAGACAAGACCGAAATAAAACAATAGGAACCAACTCAAGGATTTTACATCGACCAATGTATTACACTGACGAACACATCGAACAAAACCAAGTTAGGTATTTTTAACACGATGAGAATAAGAGATAAAAGCAGATATCTTAAAGTATTATTCCATCAACTGAATAGAGCCTTTCGCAAGTGTGGTCGAGAAATAGCTGGAACTCGCTGAAAACAATTAGCTAAACGTGAGGACTAACACAGCGACAAAAGGTCAAGTTTGATGTACATGGAGACAGAGGGAATACGAACAAAGGAAAACCTCCACATGCGTTTGCAAAAGCTGCCAATAAGGAAAGATTATCGGAGAGGAGTAACTTTACAAAAAGAAATAAAAAACTAAGTAACTTCTTGTATTATAGTATGGGAAAGGGTTAGCTAAATCACCTTTCTGCCACAACTAAGGAGTATAGATCGAACGGTAATCACACCTATGACCAAAACCTGTCTGACAAATTATTGCCTATTGCCTGATTATTTAAGAAAATCAGCCTACAGACCATCTACCCAACAACTTAGCTAACGACGTTGTGGAATATAGGACTGCAATTTCGGGACTTACTTTGAATTAACATGTACACATTCGTGCCAGGTTCACTATGACTGATTGACTTACTTGAACCAATATTGTCCATGGTGAAGAACTGCTATCCTGTTTACCCTTCGAACATAATTGGCCCAAAACATATCAATCCCATAAATAATAAGTGGATAATATACCAATCCTTATGTTTTACTTACTTCCGCCGACCCTTATAACTACTAGGGGATACTTTAAAACAATACGCTTACTTCAAAGATCGAAAATTGTTGACAGATTCGATATTAAGCACCCAACATGATAAACGGATCAGGAAGACTCAATTATGATTCTACCACATCAATTCTCTCATTTACATACACGTACTAAGGTCATGAAAGAAAAGACACAACAAGATTGAAGTTTTACTCGCGTGGTACCAAATAAATGTAAACAGTTTAGAGGAAAATGAAATTTAATAAACAAAACACTATTTTTTTATCTAAACTATTTGGTACAAAGTAAATATCACTCCATCCATGAGCTACTAGTTGTGTGCAACGGGTACATATTCAGTGCTATGTACTAAGATGTACACAGTGCTTACTTCTTTAAAACTAAAACGAACTTTACTTATTGAAAGAAAATCAAATTTATGCGATGAAGCTAATTTGGAATAAAAACCTATCATAAAGCAGTGAGCGGTAAACCGTGGGAGCAGTCGAATCCACATTTTTACATGAGTCGTAGTACGACGGTTTAGATATTACATACTAGTCTTCGGCAACGTACATCACATGTAAAACCTGACTGTGTTCAGAAATAGGAGAAATTACTTAACGATTCGTATTTCGTACATTAACTTACTTGATACTAAAAAAATAGGGATTTCGAAATTCGCTATCACAACCTAATCATACTGATATACACCGCTACAAGAATAAATGTTTGTTAGAATTTACAATTACATATAAACTAAGCTTTTGTTTCGATGGTTTAAAAGTTTTATAGACCCATTCACCCTAAACAGAACAAATTCGAAGTGTGGTGGCTGAGGATCTAGTCAGATTATCTTAACTGTCAAAATTAGTTACTAGATCGAATAAAATTCTATAACGAATTAGTCAATGAAATATGAATAAAAAAATTGTTGAACATCTGTAATTGGTCGAATCATTTATCCTACTTTAAAAACTTCGATAGTATCCACTGAGCAATTGATAATTGTATCTTTGAAACACAAATACACTGCAACAGATGATTTCCCAAATTTAAAACGTTATAGCCAGTCATTGAAAGAACAGCACAAATCAATTTATTGAATAAGGCTGGCAGCTAAAAATGAAAATTTACAAGACAAAATATTTAACCAGAAATTTATTTAATGTACAACATTCACTTTGATTTTCATCCAGTTAGATTTTACGGTTTTTCTTGATGATTCTTGTAAAATCCGTAGAGCTCTCCGTTTGACGACTGTTTGCTTTTAAATGTTAACTCTAAAGAACTTTTAAAACTAAAACAAAGGCTAGTTACGTTCAAAAAACAAATTGTATCTGAAAATATTTTTAATTCGACTAAACGGCGTTTAAGGGATATAAGCGTACTTCCTGTCATGTCATTAGTTGCAAAAAAAGCAATAAATGATAAGAATAAAATAATTTGTTCTAAATTATCTAATACACTTGTAAATCTTGGTGCGATTAAAGAAGCATTTGAAAAGTTTATAAAGATTTGTGTGCTACCAAGTATAGAAGAGATATAGTCTACAACACAATTGTCAAGTATTAAGCGGCTGGTAACTAAAATATTACTCATATTATTGAAGTGATTTAACACAGTACAGCTTTAAAACATTACAAAACATTTGTCAAAAATGAACAAGTCGAAATAAGAAGACCAATTTAGTAACGAGGGAAAGATGGTTATGAGATGAAACTAGTAGATTAGCAGCTATGTAAAAACCATAGCGTTAATGTAAGTGTTTAAACGTGTGAAAATTTCTAGAATAACAGATTCTAGTTTCTGCTCGAAATTAGTCTGCGTAACCGCAAGTGTTGTTTCATAAGACAATAATAACGGAATATCACCTACAGACTATTTAGATCGCTAATAATATCGTTAGGACTAACTTCAACTACGAATATCAGTTATGTTGATCATGTACACCCATAAAAAGTTTTGTTATTAATGAAACATGGCCATCGAGACCAGAAACTGCTACCCGCTATTTTCCATCATAAACAAAAGAAAAAGTATTTTGTATCATAAATACTAATCTTGTAAATAGGACAAGACACATCAGGCTTTGCTAACTGACAAGTATATACATATTTCACCGAAAAGTAGTAAATATTGTACTAATTACAATCTATGGAAAAATACAAATAAATCGATGACCTAATATCAACAAAACTGATTTGCTGAATGAAAATTCAACATATTATTATTCTTAACCTGATAATAATAATAATAATAATAATAATAATAATAATAATAATAATAATAATAACAATAGTAATAGTAATAATAATAAGCATTTTAGATAGGATTTACAGACATCTCACTTTTTAATCAAGCATCACACAGAAATAGCGAAAAAGCACCTCTTCATCATTTTGATAAAACTCATGTACAGAAATAAAACGATGAATAAATGCATTCTTGAATAAAGTAACGTACTTTAAGCGGAAACTTGTTCACGCATTGACTAATTTAAAAGATGAAAAAGTGGGATGGAAATGTTAATACACAAAAAAATGAAAGATAAATTCACAATATGGGCGGTAAGTTCAGAAGAACTCACTTCGACTTTTGTACGAACACACAGAACCAGTAGTAGAAGACGATCGATGCCTGCGTCGATGGGAGTGTTTTCTTCTCCGATGTTTACTACGTTTATAGCGGCTTTCATCACTACGAGAACTTCCAGAACGATGGGAGTATCTGTAAGATTTTTGTCTGCGCCTTGTATGTCTATGAAATGATGGACTTTCACATCTATGTTTGTAGTATGAACGACAGTATTGCGAACCAGAGTGACTACGACTTCTCCGTCTTCTACGATGACCAATATCACTGCTTGTTGACCGACTTTGTCTAGATACAGTCTTTGATAGGTAACCATGATCGTTTTCTTTTTCTGCTTTGTGGCGCTGTTGCATTTTCTTCATTCAACACCCCCAACAATTACATCCCGAAAGTGAAAAGTAATGAAAATAAAAGAGTACGTAAGTAAGAAAATCGAGATAAAATGTCAAATGTTTGTTTCTTTCGAGTGGATTTGATTGTTTTCTGTACAACTGTATCTCCACTGATGATCCGATGACTCGATATAAACTGACCTAAAATAATTAAACAGAATAGGCTGGAACATTACAAAAAAGAAAGTTTTCAATCAATCTTTATTTGTTTTAAGCAAACAAATTTGCGCGTGAAATTTTAAAATATAATCAACACTTATGGATGAAACTTCTTACCTTTAGTAAGTGTGCATACACCGGGTGAGAGAATTCCTTGAATTTGCTATTCATAGCATCGTCTTCTGATGCAGTATAATTTGTATATTCACCAGTTTCTGAATTGTACTTATAGTATGTCCCGGTTTTGGGTTCGTAAAATAACTGATTTTCCTAAAGTTATTTGCGAAGTTCAATGAAAGTTTAAAATAACATACCGGATCATAATAGTAGCCACTTTTATGATCATAATACAAACCAGTTCGTTCGTCGAATGTGTAGCCTGTATTACGTACAACAGCTTCCGATGTTTCTTTAAGCATATTAGCTATTGATGCACCTAAGAATGGAATATAAATTTTCACTACGCGATTGCACCATATGTTTTAGAATCAGTAGTATTCGAACCGTTGGGAGCAATCTCTTTTACACGTGATAAATTATTTTCACCGGTCACACTGTTTTGATTGAGAGATAGTAGACGGCGTTCTAAGTCTGTATTTTTGTCCATCAGGTTTTGAATGAATGCATCTTTTTCTTCGAGTTCCTTCTTCAAAATGTGGATTTCAGTCTCCAGTTCACTTAACTTTTCAAATACATCAAACTCCATCTCTCTAAATTTACTTAAATAAAAATAAATTACGAGGTTAGTAGCGAAATCTACTAATAATTCAATCACAGACTGAATTATCACACCGTAGCAACTTACTGAAGATTTTACATTGTCTTACCAAAATAATTTGTCAATGGCTTTAACACTACATGGTCCCCTTAAACTGTTTTCAAATGTACGTATAGAACCAAACAACCACGATACACAGGAAATAATGTTTTTGAAACTGTTGCTAACATAGATCGAAGTCCGAAAACAGAACACAATCTGATCATTTCCACTCCATTTTCTGTACTTAGCAAACAAACGGGCTTACTTGTTGACGTTCAACTGAAAATTCAAAAAATAATTGACATGCCTTGGCGCAGGTTAAAGGTCAGGCACAATGAAGTAACCGTGACTTATGGTTACAAACGACAGGCAGCTACAATCAACGCAAAACCTGGGGAAAATGAGCGTTAGCTCAATTTGACATATTATAGTATAATCTAGCAAGATGAATAACATAAGTGTTAGCGGGACATAGACTAGACTAAAGCATGCTCAATGCATGATTGCTTTGGTGCACGCTGATTGGCTAATTCTTATCCAATCAGCGCTAGTCGATAGTTGGAGAATATTCTGGATTCTTCTTATGTAGAAACTATAAATATACCGACGTTTTCCCCTATTGTGCTTCCTACTGGCTTCTGACTTGCTATTTGGAATATAATCTCTTTCCTGTTCAACCGTGTTCTGGTTTGGGGACTTGTCGAGTGAATCGGTGTCCGAGAATACTAAACAATAGGAATAGCTGGGTCATTAACCGTAAGAAAAGCGATTTATAACAGTGGCGACGGGGAAAAACTAAAGAAAAATGGCGATTTCTTTAGAACAGTTGCGGTTAATATTACAGCACCAGCAGAAGTTGTTAGCCTTGCAACAACAACTATTGAACACACTTTTCACTCGATCAGAAAATAAGAAATCTGTTTATGATGCAGTAACAGACATTTCAGAAGCATATCTAGTGGAGGGTTCAAATCCCTTTATACCTGAATCAGAACGTAATATTTGTAACGTGTCCGGCTCACAGCAAGAAAATACTGTGCTGAATGCACATGAAGTTGTGACAATACCAGATGATCAGGAGCCAGATCCTGTAGATGAAGCCCGGAGTCCAGAATCAAATGAAACACTACTGGTACTGTCTAGCTGCGAAAATAAACGTCAGCTCGAACAAAATTGTGGTCCACGTGCTATTAGTCGAGAAAGCTATGGTGACTCGTATTCAGAAAATAACTGGAGCAACACGATGAACCAAATTGCACCAGATGTTACTCAAAATCACCGGAAGACAGAATTTTATATTGAGTCAACTTATCTCATTTCTAATGACAGTGTACCAGATATTGATTCTCAGAATAATGCATATGATTTTGATGAACCTTCTTATAACAATGAGGGAAATATGTCAGCTGAGTCGAATGATGGCCAAAAATCTAATCTAATTCTGTTAGACGTTGACTTTCTTAATGACTCGTTATCTGCTAACGAGATTCATAATGAATTTGAAAATAATGAACTCAGATCAAAGGTTGTTCATCATCATCTAGTCATTTTTAGTGGATTCTCCAGTCAATACGAGAAACATGGTTTAAATAAAGTCCTACTAGTTATAATTTGGAGCCATAAGGACCCAACATTATTTCGAGGAGGAGGAGAATGTTGGAGAATTAAAAGTTATGCATACTTTTTTTTAAGAAAAATCAAAACGCCGGGAACAGACATGTCAGTCTCTGTGCAAGGAAAAAGTGAGAATTCTTCATTGCCTAGACGATGGACTAATCGAAAGCACAAGCCAGTCACTCAGTTGCAGTTGGACCCTAGCACCAGATCCTACGAATCTGCTCAGAGGGGAGGTGTTAGCGGGACATAGACTAGACTAAAGCATGCTCAATGCATGATTGCTTTGGTGCACGCTGATTGGCTAATTCTTATCCAATCAGCGCTAGTCGATAGTTGGAGAATATTCTGGATTCTTCTTATGTAGAAACTATAAATATACCGACGTTTTCCCCTATTGTGCTTCCTACTGGCTTCTGACTTGCTATTTGGAATATAATCTCTTTCCTGTTCAACCGTGTTCTGGTTTGGGGACTTGTCGAGTGAATCGGTGTCCGAGAATACTAAGCAATAGGAATAGCTGGGTCATTAACCGTAAGAAAACAGAGTTATAAACATAAGGATCGAAACGATGGTAGTATCAATGTCTCTGTTGGAGGCTATAGGTTGAGATTATGGTTTAAAAAGGTCTGGAGAAACACAAGGAAACATGGCTTAAAATAAACCAGACAGACACCATTTTCTTCTTACTTTCACAATTTTCACCACTGTACTATTACAGCTTGGTACAACTTGATTTTTTCTTTGCTACTAATAACATAAGAATGATAGTTTTTCCTCAAAAGCTGTTGTGAATTCAGTCAGTCAGTCAACAAATAACTTCGTACGTACATACATTAGCTCGAGATACCATACCACATTAACACAGAGATATAATTGTCAATTCAAATACTTTAGTGGTAGAGGTAGTAAAAGTATAGGCAGTAATCGGAAAACTTAGGGTTTGAAGGTGTTATTCAAAGAGTATAATCCAGTGAAATAAATTTGATAAGAGAAAAAAATGGACATAAGAATTCAGAAGATTAGAATTTGGGAAAACAAAACGAGTGGATGCACCTGTGCCATTGCAAACGATTTTGAGTCATGTCATTCAAGGCCTAACCGTCGGTTGCTGTCGTCTAGCGGATCCCAACCAGGTAGTCTATACCTACCAACATGGCTCAGTCCACTTGTCAATGACTTCATGGATTTGTGCTATGTTTTGATCTTGCCGCTGCTGAAGAAGTTTCACTACTTCATCAATTGATTTGCCATCCTTACCTAGTACCCGTCCCCTAACAACTGCATTACTTACTTAGTGGTCCCAGGATATACGAGCAATGCTTCGAAGACACCTATGATCGAATACTAGTGACCTACGAATATCTTCTACTCTTGTAAATTACGATAACTCGGACAGAAAGAAGCATACCGTTGTGGAAATACTTTGTGACGGTATTGGCTATTACATACGACAATTAGAATCTTGCTAGGTAACTCTCACCAAACACATTCCTATATGATTAACAGATTTTTACTGAATTCGTTTTCCAGGATTTCAAATAATCGCTGTTGGTAACCATTTATAACTGGCTGATCTTTACGGTCGGAATGAATGAGAACCTTGAGTCTAGTTAGTCTATTACCACCACAAACACTATTTGCATGCTACCCCTCATAAGTAATAATATGGTCTCTTATTTAATATCCTTTCATTGTAAGGATATCTTAAATAAAAGGAGCAGATAAAGTGGTACGTGACAACTCTTTCCACTCGAATGACTAAGCCCTTTTTGGACCAGATGGCTTTGTATTGACTATTTTAGCGGTTTGTATTACTGTATGAAGAATGAACATCTTAACGTATATTACGTATACAGTGAATACCTCTTTAGGCAGCTAATGAACTTAGTAGCTAGAACTGTAAGACAGAATTTATAGAGCAAAAGATCTAATCATGATGCATCAAAGACTGAAATACTTGGCCTGGGAGCAAAATATGTCAAGCTAATTAACCAGGCTAGGGGCCTAAAACTGTGGATGCTAGGGACAGGCTACGCATTCGCTCGGATATACTTTTACCACTTGGTCAGGGGTATTGGACCAGCAATTATGAAATTTTGAATTGGTAAATGATCGCGTAGTTTGACGTTATGAGCAATGATGAAAATACAGCACCAGTTGCATTCGTGGAAGCAAGTCAGTCGCGGGATTCTAAAGTCCTAGCTAAGGAAGCCTGTTTTACTATTTGGCAGTGTTCGGACGTTAAAAGCTCCTACGTGTAGTTTAGAGCGTGGTTTCAGGAGACCAGGAATAACGTTCCGCGTACTCGAATCGTTTGTCTCATGTGCTGTTACGGGTATGAGAGCTGGTGTCACTTCCCGGCTGCCCACACCGTGGAAGGGTATTCCTTGAGGAACTTGAAAAGGAATCCGGATTAATGTCGGCCACTACGGCCTGGGAGCGTGATCGCAGAGCCCAATGTACAACTGCTTGAGGCCGGTCGCGCACGGCATTTTTGTGGAAGGTTTTTGACGTGTTAGCTCCGTTCTTCAAAGGGCCTTACCGCCGGAGACGGAAATCCGTGAGGTAAGATGAGGTGTGACATTTTTAGGATCGACCTTTTCTAACCCCTTCCTTCCTTGTGAGAAGGTAGCATCGCTGTAGATGCTGGTTGTCCGAGGGAAGCACCCTATTTCTGTCACAGCCCTCTACAGCCAGCAGTTCGATTTCGCCCTCAGACCTTGAGTTGCAGCTTTTAGTCTTACCGTTCTCCAATCGACCTGCCTGGCATGGTAGAACCTACAGGAACGTATGTTTACTGGGATGACGAAACATCTGGAACCAAAAACATTATTTTTTAGTCTTGGATCTCAATGCAAAAAAGAAACAGTTTGACTATATAGATTAGTGACTCATTGGAAAAGATTCACATAGTCGGAACCAAACTGACTCTCGAAAACTCAAAGCTGTAAACGACGAGTCAGCTTAGTCAGAAATAAAGAGAGATATCTTTGAGAAAACTGTCAGTACAACTACAGTTGGCTAAAGAAAAACCCACCTTGTTAACCGGTACCAATGGCGGGTCAAGACGCCATAAACTTAAGTGCAAGGTCCCGCCGTGGTTCTATATCCAATATCATTTTGGCACACTAATATTTAACAATGTCACTAACTGCCTTAAAATCTTGATGTTCAGTAGCGTTTACTGATCCCAGTGGTATAAAATTGGTTCAGTCTAGCTAGTAAGCTGCAGTAGTAATGGGTTTCTTAAGAGAGAGGTATTTTAATTACGTGATAAATTTTTCAGTAGTGATTGTTTTCATCAAAAGCGGCTAACACGCGTGTGCCACTCATGTACGTACTTTTTTCGTGATTACGTCTATTTTAATGTAGGTTCAAATACCCAGGTTGACTATTTGACTTAAAGTTAACGTATCCTCTACAATTTGGCACTTGATAAATAATCTCTAGATACCTCGAAA